AGTACTAACCAGGGCTTATCCTCCTTACCTTCTGACATCTGATGAGATTGGGCTAGCTTGGGCCATCCAGGTCAAACCACGATGGCCTTCCTGTTATCCCCAGAACCTGGAAACGGAGTACTTCTTTGGTACTCAAGAGGATCCATTACGTTATCATGGCTACTTGAAGAACTTCATTCTCATTTTAGGGCCATCTCAGTCACAGATCTGAAACGGGGCCTGAAAATGAGCATTATTATTATTGCATGATTTGTCAAAATGCTTGGGAAGAGGGCTGTTTTATTAACATCCAGATTTCCACAGATGAGAGGAGCAATCAGAATATCAGATTACATAATCAAGTTAATGGCGGAAAGAAATGAAATTAAAGGATGAGGCACATAAATCACAGGCCGGAGAGGGCGACGGAGGCTGTTGTCACTAGAAGATCACAGATGTCATCCGGAGGCGATCAGGAGGAACCCCCCCCCAGCCTGCTGGGCAAAGTAACGGGGCCAAATACATTAACCCTGTGCGCTTGGGTCCACAGCCACGACTCAAAAGCAATCTGTGTTAAAAGGCCAGCTTGGACGGCAGCTTTCATGGCTGGCGGCAGCAAAGCGCTTTAACAGAATTACAGTCACAAGGCGCGGCTTTGCCTCTTCAAGTTCCGAGAAAATGGTAAGCAATTAGGTGAAGATTTGGGTCTTTTGACAAGTGACATACTGGTTATCCCCAGCACGGGTCTTTCCCCTCTAGGACTGCCAGTCCTGGCTGGAGAAATTCCTGGGTGGAGCCTGGGAGGGTGGAGTTCGGGGCGGGAAAGGACCTCAGCGGGATAAAATTCCAGGGAGTCCAGCTCCAAAGCAGCCATTGAGAGCCAGTCTGGTGTAGTGGTTAGCAGCACAGACTCTAATCTGGGGGTTTGATTCCCCCACTCCTCCACATGCAGCTGCTGGCGTGACCTTGGGTCAGTCATAAGTTCTTTCAGAGCTGTTCTCTCAAGGGCAGTTCTCGAGAGAGCTCTCTCGGCCCCACCTCCCTCACAGGGGAGGGGGAGGGAAAGGAGATTATAAACTGAGACTCCTTCGGGTAGTGAAGGGCGGGGTATAAATCCAATCTCTTCTCTTCTTCTCTCTGTCACCTGGAGATCAGTTGTAATCCCAGGAGATCTCTGGGCCCCAAGTGGAGGCTGGCAACTCTGCTTTCTCTCCCTTAAATAGCCTTCATTGTACAAATGGAAAGCAGAGAATGAAAATGCAGAGGGAAGGGTGTTTCCGTGTAGTCTGATACCCTCTGCAAACACATTTCCAGGTACCTGTTCTGAAAGCATAATGTTTGGCAATGTTTCTAAACCGGGGGACTGAGTTTAGTCCAACAGGTCGAGCATTGGAGAAAGGGTCCACAGTGGACTCAAACTGCTTTAAACACGACACAATGTCACCAGAAGTCCAGTTCATCTGCATAATGTGCATTTCTCGTTCTGTAAATCCCGCGCCTTCTCCTCCAGTTAGCGCAAGAGACGACGTTCCTCCCAGCACCTACTCCCATTCTCTGGTAATACTGAAGGTCGTGGTACTGATAATCCTGCTGTTGGTAGAGCCAGCCCCTCTGTTCCCAGGGGACACAAAAAGGTGCATCCCAGTTGAAATTAAGCCTAGAACTTGAGGTCACCCCACAGAATTGACAAATTGTCAAAGGATCACGGCGTGGCGGTGTGGCATCTCTTTTGGACACAGATCAGCCTCTGGCATCTCCAGTTCCACCGTGGTTTGAATGATCTCCATATGCTTTCCGCCCCGTGCTCGGTATGCCAGCATTTTTGCATTTCCTGAACCAAAAGCTGTGAGTTTGAAACCTGGAGATCAGTCTTCTTACGGAATCATGGGGCAATTTCCAAGGGAGCGGTAAATTCCTCCCCGGATTTCATCCTCATCCTGAGCATTCCGATCCGTTCCCGCCTCCCTTCGATGGTGGTTTGAGATCTTGGGGAGACTCTTTGTCTCTCTGCTTTCTGAGCCCAGGTGATGGCAACGAGGTCAAAGAGCCAATTTGGTGCAGCGGTTAAGAGTGGCGGACTCTAGTCTGGAGAACTGAGTTCGACTCCCCCACTCCTCCACATGCAACCAGCTGGGTGACTTTGGGTCAGTCCCAGTTCTCTCAGAGCTGGTCTCTCACAAGAAGTTCTCTCAGAGCTCTCTCAGCCCCACCTACCTCACAGGGTGTCTGTTGTGGGGAAAGGGAAGGTGATTGTAAGTGGCTTTGACACTCCAAGTGAAGGATGGGGTATAAATCGAACTCTTCTTCTACATTGTTTCTCCACAGGATTTTGGCTTCTGATCCCCACTGGCCATAGCCCTGTATGAGGATAAGGACACCTCTCTTCTTCTACAGACTTAACCTGCTTAAAAACCATGGCTTTCCCCAAGGATCCCAGAGCACGGTGGCTCTGGACATTTGCTTCACGCATCTCAGTTAATGATCTTGGGTTGTATCCTACCGCTCCTCCAACAGAATCACCTTCATCCAGCTTGAGGATGCTTTGGGACGGCGAAACACAGCACTGTTAGCGAGGTGGTAGGATACAGCCCCCCACATCTGTTATATTATCCCTGTTCAAACAACACATACTTATTACCTTCTAGTTACTGGTCTTAAAGGATAACTTCAAATTTTCACCCCTCATACCCACCTACCTGTATCATTATTAGGCCCAAATGCAGGCCTGAGACATTTTTGGCACCTAACAGAGAAAATGAAAAATCAACCTCCATTTGCCAGCCTCGTAATAATAATAAAATATCGATTTTCTGATTTTTAATTGTTCCCCCAAATCAGCTACCTGAGGGAGGTCACTTCACCATGCCCAGTAGCAAGGATGGGAGACTCCTCAACAATACCACCGTTCTGAGGGCTCATATAGGAAAGCTATGACACCTCTGACACGCCAGTTTGGTGTAGTGGTTAAGTGCGCGGCCTCTAATCTGGGAGAACCGGGTTTGATTCCCCACTCCTCCACTTGCACCTGGCTGGATGACCTTGGGCAAGCCGTAGCTCTGATAAGAGCTGTTCTTGAAAAACAGCAGTTTCTGTCAGAGCTCTCTCAGCCCCACCTACCTCACAGGGTGTCTGTTGTGGGGAGGGGAAGGGAAAGGAGTTTGTAAACCCCTCTGAGACTCCTTCGGGTAGTGAAGGGCGGGGTATAAATCCAATCTCTTCTTCTTCTTCTAAACAGGTTTGAAGCCTGTTCTTTTGTTACTTCTGGGTGGGGAAGTTTGGAAAGAGTTCTCTCCCTTCACGATGAGGTGTCTGAAAATCCCTGAGCTAAGGTGGCACTGAAGGGTGGGGTGAGGGCCTTTACAACCCAATGGGCCCCCCCAGACGAATCCAAACAGTTGGTCTACTGGTAACCTTACCTCACAACTCAAGGATCTCCTGGGGATGTCAGCCTTGGAGTTGATCCAAAGGCCAAAACTGAATCCTGCGGTACGGGGTTAATTGTTGCCTGCCGTTACCTGTGCCACGCAACCAGCATTATCAACTTATTTACTCTTGCGCACAACCAGTCTCGACACTACCGCAAATACTGCAGGGCTGAGCCACTAATCCAACAACAAAAAAGCGTTAAAGAATGCCAGGACTCATTTTATGTTGCAATTACTGGGATCGCAACTTTGCAAATGCACAAATTGGGTCACCGCTGCATGGTGAACAGATTAGAAAAGAATCAGGTGTGGTATCAGGAATACTGTCTGGACCTTACCTTCCTACCCCTTCCCTTGACACAACTACCTTCTTCACCTAATGCTTCATTGTTTGGGTGGCTTACTAGTTCAGCAAACTATAAACTGACTTTCTAAAGTGATAACAAAACACCAGTGGCACATTTCCCCTTAAATTCTCTGCAACATGAGCATGTATGAACATTGGATAGAAAGTCTGGCTCCTCAAGAGCATACTCTTAAGACTTGGGTTGCTTTAGGAGAGGCGTTTTATTCCTTCTTCTTTCCTACTGCCCCCGTTCAAATAACACATACGGTATCGCCTTCTAGTTACCGGTTTCTAAAGAACAACTTCAAGTCTTCATTCCCCGTACCCACCCACTCATATCATTTTTAGGCCCAAATGTAGCGGGCCCAGGTTAATTATATTATTACAACCATGCCTGTAATTACAAAACCCACCTGTAAACAATGAAACTGTTAACCCCTCCCCACCACCACGGGCTGAACTCCTTTTAGCTTAGCATGCATTACTGCAATCTTCAAAGAAACCAGCTGCAGGGAAGCCGCTTCTGGGAGCAACTGGTGTGCCTTTTCCAGCCGCGACCCTATGCCCGGCGAAGGCCACTGCAAATGTTACGATTGCTGTGAGAAACGCCAGCCAGTCCTGCTG